TGATGATGAGTGCAATGCTATTCCTCTTCAATTTGTCATTCCTAGCATAGTAGACCAATGATTGTCTGATTCAAAATGGCCAATACCAGTCCATTTCAGCTCACTAATGCCTAGGATATCGATCTTTATGTATTTCATTTAATTTTTAACAACTTCCAATTTGCCTGGATTCGTACTTCGGACATTCCACGTTCTGATTATTAATGGGTATTCGCAGCTGTTTCTTCTCATTTTGAGTCACACCACGTCCGCAGATGAAGGTCCTGAAAACTACTCCATCCACATTATTAAGGTCAACTCTACTTTGAGGAGGCAGCTCTTCCTCAGTCACATTTTGAGTGCCTTCCAACGTCAGGGGCTCGTCTTCCAGCACTATATCAGACAGTGTTCTGGTGCTATTCAGAAGGTTTTCACTGGCCAGTTTTTTAGAAGTAGACCACCAGGTCCTTCTTCCTAGTCTTTCTTAGTCTGGAAGCTCCGTTGAAACCTGTCCACCATGGAGGACCCTGCTGGTATTTGAAATACTGGTGGCATACTTTCCAGCATCACAGCAACATGCAAGCCACCACATTATGACAAACTGACAGATGTGTTGGAAAGAGATGATGGAAAAGCTCAATATCATCAGTCAGAACAAGGCCAGGGGCCAACTGTGAAACAGACCATCAATTGCTCATATGCAAGATCAAGTTGAAGCTGAAGAAAATTAGAGCAAGTCCATGAGAACCAAAAGATGATCTTGAGTAGATCCCACCTGAATTTGGAGACCATCTCAAGAATAGATTTGATGCATTGAACACTAATGACCAAAGACCAGACGAGTTGTGTAATGACATCAAGAACACCATACATGAAGAAGGCAAAAGGTCATTAAAAGACAGGAAAGAAAGAAAAGACCAAAATGGATGTCAGAAGAGACTCTGAAACTTGCTCTTGAACATACAGTAGCTAAAGCAAACGGAAGAAATGACGATGTAAAAGCTGAAGAGAAGATTTCAAAGGGCTCGAGAAGACAATGTAAAGTATTATAATCACATGTGCAAAGATCTGGAGTTAGAAAACCGAAAGGGAAGAACACACATGGTGTTTGTCAACCTGAAAGAACTGAAGTAAAAATTCATTCCTTGAGTTGCAATTTTGAAGGATTCTATGGGCAAAATATTGAATAGTGCATCAAAAGAAGATGGAAGGAATACACAGAGTGACTGTACCAAAAATAACTGGTTGATGTTCAGCCATTTCAGGAAGTAGCATATGATGAAGAATCAATGGTATTGAAGGAAGAAGTCCAAGCTGCACTGAAGGCATTGGCAAAAAACAGGAAGGCTCCAGGAATTGATGGGATACCAACTGAGATGTTTCAACAAACAACATAGCACTGGAGGTGCTCACTATGCCAAGAAACTTGGAAGACAGCTACCTGGCCAATAGACTGGAAGAGATCCATATTTGTGCCCATTCCAAAGAAAGGTGACCCAACCGAATGCAGAAATTATCCAGTGATATCATTAATATCACATGCAAGTAAAATCTTGCTGAAGATAATTCAAAAATGATTGCAGCAGTACATCAACAGGGAACTGCAAGAAATTCAAGCTGGATTCAGAAGAGGTCGTGAAACAAGGGAGATCATTGCGGATGTCAGATGTATCTTGGCTGAAAGCAGAGGATACCAGAAAGATGTTTACCTGTGTTTTATTGACTACGCAAAGCATCTGACTGTGTGGATCGTAACAAATTTTGGATAACATTGGGAAGAATGGGAATTCCAGAACACTTAATTGTGCTCATGTGGAACCTGTACATAGACCAAGAGGCAGCTCTTCAAACAGAACAAGGGCATACTGCATGGTTCAAAATCATTAAAAGTGTGTGTCAGGGTGGTATCCTTTCACCATATCTATTCAATCTGTATGCTGAGCAAATAATCCAAAAAACTGGACTATATGAACAACGAGGCATCGGGATTGGAGGAAGATGCACTGATAATCTGTGATACGCAGATGACGCAAACTTGCTCACTGAAGTGAAAAGGACTCGAAGCACCTTCTGATGAAGATGAAAGACTGCAGCCCTCAGTATGGATTACAACCCAACATAAAGAAAACAAAAATCCTCACAACTGGACCAATGAGCAACGTCATGATAAACAGAGAAAGGATTGAAATTGTCAGGCATTTCGTTTTGTTTGGATCCACAATCAACGCCCATGGAAACAGCAGTCAGGAAATCAAACAACTTTTGCCTTGGGCAAATCTGCTGCAAAAGACCTCTTTAAAGTGTTTAAAGCAAAGCCGTCACTTTGAGTACTAAGGTGCACCTGACCCAAGCCATGATATTTTCAATCACCTCATATGCATTCAAAAGGTGGATAATGCATAAGGAAGACCGAAGAAGAATTGACGCCTTGTTGGCGAAGAATATTGAATATACTATGGACTGCCAGAATAAGGAACGAGTCTATCTTGGAAGAAGTACAGCTAGAGTGCTCCTTGGAAGCAAGGACGGCTGAGACTTCATCTCATGTACTTTGGACATGTTATCCGGAGGGACCAATCCCTAGAGAAGGACATCATACTTGGTAAAGTAGAGGATCAGCAAAAAAGAGGAAGACCCTCAATCAGATGGATTGACACAGTGGCTGCAACAATGGGCTCAAACACAGCAATGATTGTGAAGGTGGCACAGGACTGGGCAGTGTTCCATTCTGTTGCACATCGGGTCGCTATGAGTCGGAACCGATTCGACAACACCTAACGACACCACTACTGAGGAACTGAGGTTCAGAGAGTTTCTGGAACTCGCCTGAGGTCACACACCCTGAGCCCTATGCTTGGGGGCAGGGGACCATGGAGGCTTGTGACTTACTTCTCTTTTCTGAGCATCAATAAATTTCAGTTTAGAAATTTCTGTCTTCAGTGCTGTCTCAGGGGGCCTATGAAAAATGCTGACACTGTGGCAGTTGTCTTAGATGGCCCCGTACTTGTTGGGTGGCCCTGAGCCCTGCACTGTTTTAAGGAAAGCCCAGCACACAGTATGGGGTACAGCTGGGATTCCAACCCGAGTAGCCCAGGGTCCGAAGGCCCCTGCTCAGCTACAGAACTATGCTGCTGGTCCAACTCGAAAGACCTGGGTGAGAATCCAGCTTCTACCAAGTTACTTAACCTCTCTTAGCCTGTACAATGAGGATAATAATGCGTGTTTGAAAAGGAATATAAGCCTCGATCACATGCCAACCGGGTAAACAGTAGGAGTGTCCATGTTCTGTAAGTTTTTATTCCCTTCCCCCCGGTCTCCTAGGTTAGGCCTACAGGTCTGATTTGAAGATTGAAAATAGAGAACTGCCATAAGGGGTTATTTAGGGCAAAGATTCTCATATTTAACTATGCTTCAGATCTATCCGAGGTGAGGATAGGGGACGGGAGGGGTAATTCCTGAATCCCATTGTAAAGTGACTCCCTACGGCTGGGGTGGGGCTCAGGAATCTGTATGTTGGACCTGCCCCAGGGGATTCGGATGACTTTGGGTCTCCTAATCCCGTCTGAATAGCTCTGTTGTTGTTAGTCACCATGGAGTCAGCTGCAACTCATGGTGACCCTGTGTACAACGTAACAAAACATTGCCCTGTCCTGTGCCATCTCCGTGACAGTTGTCATGTTTGAGTCCATTGTTGTGGCCACTGTGTAGTGCCTTCCAACCTAGGGGGCTCAGCTTCCGGCACTATATAGGGCAATACGCTGTTGTGATCCATAAAATTTTCATTGGCTAATTTCTGGAAGTAGATCACCAGGCCTTTCATCCTACTGTCTTAGTCTGGCAGCTCCGCTGAAACTTATCCACTATGGGTGATCATGCAGATATTTGAAATACCAGTGGAATAGCTTCCAGCATCATAGCTACCTGCAAGCCACCACAGTAAGACAAACTGACAGACGGGTGGTGGTAACTGTCCCTTCGCCTGCATTGTCCTTTCCCCTACTCACTTGGAAGTCTCAGCTCAAAGTCAGCTACTCCAGGATACCATTCAGATTTCCCTCTCTGGTCCCACCGTTATTATTGCTCAAGTCACACTTCTTGTTGTTGGCTGCCGTGAAATCGCCCCTATGTCATACTAATGTGCGTTGGTTTTTTTCCCCCACATCTGGAGTCTACTGGGTGGGCCCATGGTCCATTTACCCATTTTGTAAGTGTGTGGAAACGGGCTCAATGTTTGTGCATTTTCCCTTCTTCCACCCCTGAGAATCCTTGGCTTTATTCAGCCACCCGAAGGGGTTTGTGGTCCCAAAAGAGAGTAGAGCCAAAAGAGAACACCACAAGGTAGCGTACTCTGACCAGAGGGGGCCGGGAGGCAAGACTAGAGACTGCAGATTCCTGAAAATGGTACACCAGAGATTACTCCCAGGGGTTTCTCACAGCCCTGCGGGGGAAGGGGAGTGGAATAATCGAGGACTTTATGTGCTCGATCTGAGGGGAGAGCATGGTTGTGCCAAGTCACCGACGCTCTCACGGGACCACTTATCGCCAGAAACACTATCCATTCGCCAAAAGGAACTGGATTTCCCAACTAAATCTTACTTTCCACCTTCCTTAAAATTAGTTTAACACCAAGGGAATACTTTGTCTCTTTGTTCTCACCTCTAATCTTGCTCAAACATCAAGCATTAATTCTCCGGAATGCACTCAGACCCATCCAGCCTAAAACAGAGGGGCGGTTTTCACTCCTGGAAAGAGAATTACTGAAGGGGCAGTTCGCTCCACGCAGTCGGAGGCCACACCCCCAACTGCGGCCTTAGAATGGAAGCAGGAGCTTGGACCCCGACCTCTCCAGACGTGTCTGTGTCACTTTCCTCCCAGGAGAGTCTGACGGAGCTTCGGTCCCCAGTCAAAGTCAGTGGAGCTTGCTCACAAGAATTAGGCTGTTGCCCAAGCACCTCTGTATGTTCTTAAGACTTGCATGTAGCGGTACCCCACCCCCCACCCCATTTCCGGCTCATATTCAGGCCCTCAGGCCCCCGTTTGACCAAGACACGCCCAGGTAAGGTGCCCAAAAGCACGCGGCCCTGCCAACACTTCGCTGCGGTCGCTACTTTTTGATATTTTGTTGAGTCCATTTGGAAGAGAAATGTCACATTCTACGATGGAAATAAAACAACTAACTACATGGCTAGATGAGAATGAGCGGACCCTTGAGCTTTGTGCCGCGCGAGGTGGATGGGCGGACTAAGAAGAGCGCCCAGGGGACCTCAGGACGCTCCCCTGGCATAAGGTGTAGTCATAACATGTATGTGTTTTCTGCGAGCCTCCGGAGAAAGATTCCGACTTAGCCCGCTCCGCACGCCGGGCTGTGCTGGTGCCCTTCAGGAGGCAAAAGCAGGAGAAGCATTATTGGTCCTATTTTACAAGTGGGCAGCCTGCGGATGGGGGAGTAGAAGTGACGGCTCCATGGTGACGCAGATGGTGCAGAGGCCGAGCGAGGTCAGGAATCCGGAAGCCAAGAGCTGACGCAGACCCTGTGGGAGGCGGGTACCGAGTTCCTGTCCTCGGGTCCCAAACCTCCAAACCCAGCTTCTGTTTCTGCGGCAGAGAAGAGCAGGCAGTGTAAAGCGGCTGTCCCGCCCCGCGCCCCTACCGGGCTCCACGACTGGCTCCGCGGGCCGGAGGCGGGGCCAGAGCGCCTAGCCAACGTGACGGCGTCAAACGTCGCTGGCGCCGCTTCCTGTTGTCGGTGGCCGGGAGGCCGCAGCTTCCGGTTAGTGGCTGAGGGGCTGCAGTGGAGCGGAGTCCCTGCCGCCCGTTCTCGGCTCCCTTTGGTGAGTCATGGGTCAGGGGGCGAGGAGGGCAGCTGAGGGGCGGCGGGGCTGAGATGCAAGCGGACGATGGGCCCCCAGCTCTCTCCGTGATCCCAAACCCTGGCTGCCTTGAGACTGTCCGACTTCAGATACCCCAACCTTTCCCAGCCCAAGTCCCGCGCCCCGGCTCTGGCCCAGTCCGCCCCACTCCGACCCCAGCCTCCGGCCTGCATTGCCACTTCAGGGCCGTCCCCTCCATCTTCTCCCACCCGTGATCTGACTCCCGCTCTTACCCCATGCCTCTTGAGTGAGTGCAGCCTCACCCCCGACCCTACTCTAGCCCAGTTCCAACCGCTGTCTCGGCCACATCCCTCTGCTTCCCCCTAACACGTCTCATCCTCACCCCTCAACGCCTCTGGCGATCCTAATGTACCACGCAAACCTCCCCCAGTTCACTAGTCCGGTTTCTCCCCCCTTTTCTGGTTCAGCTTTCTTATCCCAATCTCCCACACACCCCTGCTCTGCTCCTTGAGGTCTGCTCTCATTTAAAACCCACCACCAAAGTAGGTGCCCTCTTGAGCTCACCCCTTTCTTATTGATAACTCTGATCATAGTCCTATCCCAGGTTTTATATGTATCTTCTTTCCTCACAGACTTGGCTTCTAACTCCCTAGCCCACTATATACATCCTCCACTTTATAACCCCGGTAATCTTTCCACCTCCTCCCATCCTGAGGACATGCCATTCCCTAAGTCTTTGCTAAACTGTCCCCAACTCTTACTGCCCCATTTCCTGCTAACCCTCACCCAGTCTTCTCGAAAACGAAGTCTCTGTGTCCTTTCACCTCTGCTGTCCCCTTCCGAACTCTTCGCACTTACTCTTGGCTTGACCCAGCCCCCATTCACCTGCATCCCCTGCCAACCTCACCAGCTGCCCTTTGGCAGCCAAATCTCGGTGCTTGCTTAGAGCCGGGCAATTAGAGATTGAAAAGCTTGAATGGGTGTGTGCAGGGCCTCAGATGGTAAATAAGTGTCAGGGAGTAGGCCCCTCTGGAGTCAAGGTTTTTCCCAGTGCCTGATCCTCTGTACCTCCTCCCAGGGACATTGTTTCTAGCATTCATATTACATTTCTTATGCTGACTGCTGGAATGGTAGGCATCATCCATATACTTGGAAGGTGAGGGACAGTCACTCATCTAGCTCATTAGGCCTGGGGCAGCAGAAGTGATCACTTCGTTTTGGCTGGTGTTCTGGCCTTGAGAACCTCGAAGTGCCACCGTGTGAGGTTGGCCATGGTCACAGAACCCAGTGTTTCTTCCTGCCAGGGCTGATTGTAAGTCTGTCCCAACACTGAACACAGGGGACATGATGGGTGCCAGGGGTGATGTTGCATGTTGTGAAGAGTATAAGTGAGTGGGTCCTGGGGAGGCTGAGACCTAGGTGGAGACAGATGCCATTGAATCACTTCCTTTTTTTTTGCAGGTGCTGGATCATTGAGTTTTAACTGTTTTAGGTTACTTATGATACAGGTAGCCAAGTTATCTCAGAGTAACTGAGGCAGAGAGACATCCTGAGGCACCCAGGCCCCATGCTCAGCATTTATAGTCTCCTGGAGCTTTTTGGTGCACGTCCTCTCCACATTCTGGTGGCCTGGCTTTAGACGAGTCAGCCATCCTCATACAGTAATTTGAAAGGGCCCCCAAGAGAACCCGTTGTCTTTGCTTACCATTTTACCATTATAGTCTTTCATTCCTTAAAAATTGAATGTAGTTCTACCTCAGTATCCCCCCTTTAAAGTGCAATATATCTGCACAGTTTTCAGCCTTATCCACAGTTTGATTTAATGGAAAAAGTAATGGTCTTAGTTATCTAGTGCTGCTATAACAGAAATACCACAAGTGGATGGCTTTAACAGACCGAAATTTATTTTCTCATAGTCTAGGAGGCTAGAAGTCTGAATTCAGGGTGCCAGCTCCAGGGGAAGGCTTTCACTCTCTGTTGGCTCTGGGGGAAGATCCTTGTCATCAATCTTCCCTGGTCTAGGAGCTTCTCACAGCACAGGGACGCCGGGTCCAAAGGATGTGCACTCCTGGCTCTTCTTGCTTGGTGGTAATGAGCCCCTCTGTCTCTCTGCTCCCGTCTCTCTTTTATATCTAAAAGAGATTGACTCAAGATACAACCTAATCTTGTAGATTGAGTCCTGCCTCATTAACATAATTGCCTCTAATCCTGCCTGATTAACGTCATAGAGCTAAGATTTACAACACGTCGGAAAACCACATCTGATAACAGAATGGTGGACAGTCACGCAATACTGGGGATCATGGCCTAGCCAGGGTGGCTCACACTTTTGGGGGACACAGTTCAATCCATAACAGTAACATAATGGCCCAACCACTTAGAAGTTGTATACCTTAACTTCCCACAGTCTGAAATGGAAATAGTAATACTGCCCTGTGCCTTGTTTTTATTTCATTCATCAATTCATTCAGCAAGTATTTACTGAGCACTACTGTGTGCCAGGCACTGTTCTAGGCACTGGAAATGCAGTGGTGAATGAGTCAGGCAAAGTTCCTGTTTTCCTTTATTCAGAATTTGGTCCTGTCTGCAATCCTATGGGATATGGGTCAGGAATATGGGGGAGACAGGATTACTGGATGGAAGGGAGGAGGGAGGAAAGAAAGATATAAGGGCGTTGTTCAGCAACTTCACAGGTCTGTCCTGGCTCACTAGCCCTTGGTCTGGGAATCAGAAGCTTCTAGAAGTTTCTCGCCTTCCACTGGCATTTAATTGCATCAGAGTCCACCCTCATCCCCATCCCACCCAAGACAATTGTCCAGAAATCCAACCTGGATTTCTTCAGGAGGAAGGAAAGTGCTAGTTACTTATTCAGCGCTCACGTGTCTGAAAGATCAGCTGCCTTTCTGAATCAGAAGATAACTCTGTCATTCTTTTCCATACTGACAACTTTGTCATTCTTTTCCACCTGAAAAAACATGAGTCATCTATTGGTACAGCAGCTGGATGGCTTATGCCAGGCTGTTCTGAACAGCCAGGTTCGCAGTTAGATTCAGCCAGTACAGGGAAGGCTGTTGGGAGTGGCTGAGAAGTCTAAAGAGAAGAGGTTGCTGTTTACTGATTTGCTTTGAGAGCAGTGAAGCCATTCACTTCTTCTTTTAATGTAAGTCTTCATCTAAGCCATTCTTCTCTTTTCTTTCTTCTTTGGTCTCCAGAGGAGGTGAAATTGGACATATATAGGAAGCCAGGAAGTATAGTGAAGAGAAAGAACCAAGACAATTCCTTCCTAACTGTGTGCTAGAACATTTAAGAAAGGCAGCTCTTGGGCACTGTGGGATGGACCTCAGCTCAGGTGATTGGGGCTACAGATCTGAGCGGCAAGATTGTTACTGGCTTTATTGTTATTGTTACTTATTTGATTGTAGATAAAATAGAACTTCTGCGTATCTCTTAAAAAATCTGTAA